GGCTAATTTTTTGATTTATTGTAGAGATGAGGTCTCACCTGCCCAGGCGGGTCTCGAACCCGCGGGCTCAGGCAATCCACTCTCCTCAGCCTCCCAAAGGCGCGGGATTACAGGCTGAGCCACCGAGCCCAGCTACGTCACACATTCTTATTCATCCTTGCGGAGCTCATTCAGAAAGAGCGAGGAAGTAAAGATTCTTACCTGAAGAGACTGTGCTTATGTCCCAGACCCGAAGCCCTTCTTTCTGACCTCCAAAGGCATAAATAAATGGCGAATCAGGGCAACAGGAAGAACAGAAGAGAACTCCCTGAGAGAAAAGAACAGCAAGTCAGTAATCTTGATCTTTCCAGAAAGCCCTAATGTATAGATCCCCACTCTAAGAACCTGATTTAAATGGTTACTCAGAACCAACTCACCAGTATCTCTTTCACACTCATTCCAAAGGTAGCCTCCAATCAAGTTGGAAGGGAGATTACTACAGTAGGACGCAGGGCAAACTCAGCCCGAGGGCTCCTCCCTGAGGACATGTGTGTGCTCTGACCACACACGTCTCTCACCTTCATCATCACCTATTAGCGGTTTCCGAATGAATCTAGTCAGCTATGCATTTCCAGGAACTTTAGCTCTTCTTTCAAACGATGACAATGATACCAGAGGTCACTATTCAATCATTTAAAAATATTTAATTTTTTCTTTTTTATGTTTTTATTAATAGGTAATGCCTATACATTATAGAAAATATGAACAAGAAAAAATAATCCTTCAGCAATATAACTACTCTTCCTGTTTTGGGATATAATCTCTTAGACTTAAGCACTGAAAGCATTTTTAAAATTTTATTTTTTAGTGCCAGGGTCTTGGCTCTATGCCCAGGCTGGAGAGCAGTGGAGGTCACACCTGGGCTTAAGTGATCCCCCCATCTTGGGCTCCAGAGTAGCTAGGGACTACAGGCACGCACCACCACACCTGGCTAATTTTTGTAGAGATGGAGTATCACTATGTTACCCAGGCTGGTCTTGAACCACTGGGCTCAAGCGATCCTTCCTCTATGGCCTCCCAAAGTGCTGGGATTACAGGAATGAGCTACCATGCCCTGCCAGTGATTAGGCATTTAAAAATAAGCATGGAATTGGTACTAAAAAACTGTTTTTATAACCTGCCTTTCCATTATACACACATTTATGTACACATACTACGATTTCTTTTTTGAGTTGAAGTCTCACTCCGTCGCCTAGGCTGGAGTGCAGTGGCATGCTCACCGCCACCCCAGTATCGACCTGCTGGGCACTGGAAATCCTGCTGCCTCAGCCTTCCAAGTAGCCAGAACTACAGGCACACGCTACCATGCCCAGCTAATTTTTTATTTATTGTAGAGATGAGGTCTCGTCAAGTTGCCCAGGCTGGTCTTGAACCCACGGGCTCAGGCAATTCAATCGCCTCGGCCTCCCAAAGTGCTGGGATTACAGGCTGAGCCACCGAGCCCAGTCCCACACACAATTTTTAACAGTTGTGCAGTGTTCTGCTATGTCTATAATTTAACTTATTAAACTCGGTGCTTGGTGTACGCTATGGGCTTAATAAATATTTGTTGAATGAATTCTGGCTATTTCTAAACTTTTGCTACTATATAGTAATTTCAGGGTAGTCAGAACTAGTTATGCAAAGAGGTAATGATAGATACATAGATAAACTGACCCTGATAGCTATTGTGCCCTTAAGGTTTAAGACTTCCTGGAATGGTCCTGGTTTTAGGGTAACAAAAATGTGGCCACTTCCCCTGAGTTCCAGAAAACACTCTCCTCATCCTTCTTAGTCCGGCCAAGCAACTGTTAATCATGTGACTTGGAAAAGGAATAAGTCACTGAATTACCCCAAAACTATTTTACGTCAGAAAAAGTCCACCAAATTTGACTAAACACAAACCTAACTTTCCCAACACATCCATATTCCTTTTTTTATTTTTTTTTTTGAGTAGGAGTCTCACTCTGTTGCTCAGGCTGGAGTACAGTGGCATGCTCATGGCCACTGCGGCCTCGACTTGCTGGGCTCAGGTGATCCTTCCGCCTCAGCTTTCCAGTAGGTGGAACTATAGGCATGTGCTATCATGTCTGGCTAATCTTTTGGTTTATTGTAGAGATGAGGTCTCGCCAAGTTGCCCAGGCTGGTCTTGAACCCATGGGCTCAGGCAATCCTCTTGCCTTGGCCTCCCAAAGTGCTGGGATTACAGGCATGAGTCACCATGCCTAGCCTATCCATATTCTTTAATGCAATGATTCCTAGAAAGAGACAACATCAGAAACATAAAACAAAGATGCCCAGGAAATTCTTACCATTTTCATGTCCCTAGAATGAACTAGACTTGGCCTATCTCCTAAGATGTCCCAGATCTTCACATATTTGTCTGCTGAAGCAGTCACAAGGCAGCCCTTGATCTGACTGCTGAGATCAAGACCTACAAGAAGATACAGTAGTTCAGAAACTCACAATGAAACTAAGATTTACTTCATTGTAAGTCAATAAAAATGAAAGAAACATTATTTATGCTTACCAGAGATTTCATCATTGTGTGCGTTAAGTGTAAAAACTGGTTTATCTGAACGTGCATCCAAATTATATACAAAGCCGTCATCTGTACTGGCCTAGAAAGAGTAAAAGATGGGCAAGATTATGCTACATGACAGCAAAACTTAGCAATGGGTAAAAAGTATAAATCATAGTGAAAATCAGATACACATATATAGATCTGACTTCCTGGTGGAGCTTATTAAAAATCCACATGAAGAATGTACTTTGGAGGAGCTGAGTTTGCACCCACATGGACTGATTTAGCTGACACGTCTATAGGTAGCTGACTACGGGCAGGAAGTTGGGGTAAGCGGGGCAGGAAGTTGGGGTAAGCGGTGCAGAGCAGGGTGAGAGCCTGGGAGCACAGTGCTGATGGTCATCGCCAGAAGCAGAGGGACACGCCTGCCAGTGTGAAGTCAGACAAGCAGTGGGCTGAGCACTTGACAACACGGCTACTTTGAGGCACAGGCTGAGGAGGAGCCCGCAGACGAGGGTTGGAGAGGGAGCCGGGATGAGGACGAGTATCAGGGAAGCCAGGGGAATGGGGCTTCTGAAGAGGGTGTGACCACCAGTCAACATGGCCAGCACGGCCATGGAGAAATTCAATCAGATAAGGACTGAAAAGTCCAGGTCAGCGTGGACTGCTACACTTTCCAGAACAGGAGAGGACATGAAGGAGTCGAGAGACAGTCAGGATGGGAGAGGGACCTGAACCTGTACACAGGCCAAGGGCAACGGCCATTAAAAGGTAAAAGGACTGAACGGATAACAGAGGCAGTCGTGAATTCTGGGCTGGGGGGGAGGACTGAAGAGGCGGCGGGCCATTTCATCTCCCAACTTCCTGTCTCCCTTTTAGTGCCTACGACCATTGGTTAGCGCATAGCCTCGGGAAGTGTGTGTGCCTGAATGCCGAGACCCAATGTACAACACAACATTCAAATATAACTGAACTTCCTGGTAAGTGTAAAATGGAACCTGGCTTCAGGCAGCCGGGCTGGAAGCAGCAGGCACCTCTCCCAGGACCCAGAGCTGAGACGAGGTGTCTCAGAATCATTACTTCAGGAACCTTACGACAACTGTCCATATCTTTTAGGAAAGCTGCTTTGCTTGGTTTGAGTCAGCGTCTCCACTCTGTTACCCAGGCTGGAGTGCAGTGGCACAATCACAGCTACTGCAGTCTTGAACTCCTGGGCTCAGACAATCCTCTCGCTTCAGCCTCCTAAAGTGCTGGGATTACAGGTATAAGCCACTACGCCCAACAGGAAAGTTGTTTTTATTTATTTATTTATTTATTTATTTATTTTTGAGTTGGAGTCTCACTCTGTCGCCCAGACTGGAGTGCAGTGGCCGCTCCCGGCCACCGCAGCCTCGACCTGCTGGGCTCCGGCGATCCTTCCGCCTCAGCCTTCCAAGTAGCCGGAATCACATGCATGCGCTACCACGCCTGGCTGATTTTTTTGATTTATTGTAGAGATGAGGTCTTGCTGCCCAGACGGGTCTCGAACCCACGGGCTCAGGCAATCCACTCACCTCAACCTACCAAAGGCGCGGAATTACAGGCTGAGCCACCGAACTCGGCTAGGAAAGTTGTTTTTAAAAAACTCTTTTCCTCTTTTGGGATTTTCCTCACATAAATTATGTGAGGAAAATTGGGCAACATATGGATTTCTTTAATTAATCTGCCCTTCCAGAAAGCCAGGATTTTATTTCTCTGTGAATTGAAATGCCGGTGGAATCTTTGGATGTTATGTAGAAAATCATCATCCTATAGACAATAAAGGTATTTACAGAAAAGTCTTATACTTTTTTTTCCTATTTGGGAAACAGTGCTATTAACTAAAAAGGCTAGCATTCTCATCACTAGAATTCCTTTTAATTATGATAATTTAAATAAAATAACATCATCTTGGACTGATTTAACTTTTCTTTTTTTTTTTTTTGAGTTGGAATCTCACTCTGTCGCCCAGACTAGAGTGCAGTGGCCGCTCCTGGCCACGGCAGCCTCGACCTGCTGGGCTCCGGCGATCCCTCCGCCTCAGCCTTCCAAGTAGCCAGAATTACAGGCATGCGCTACCATGCCCAGCTGATTTTTTTGATTTATTGTAGAGATGAGGTCTCGCTGCCCAGGCGGGTCTCGAACCCACGGGCTCAGGCAATCCGCTCACCTCAGCCTCCCAAAGGCGCGGGATTACAGGCTGAGCCACCGAGCCCGACTTGATTTAACTTTTTAAAAGACAAAAAATAATATAAACTATGTTTAATATTTCAAACACAGTGTAATAAAATGATCGAAATCAGTAGTAAAATAAAACGTGGCACACTCTGGAACAGCTGGCAATTAGCAAAATCATTTACATGTTCACTAAGTTTTTGTGATTGAGCCATATTTTCAACCCCATAACCCAAACACTTTACACTGTTAATACAGAAAAAGTTCTTCAGAGATTCTCTCTACAATGGAATTAATGAAAATAAGCCATTGGCAACCCAGAAACCGTAACATGCACACTCTTACCAAAAAATGACAAGGTGAAAAATGATTCCAGGTCACTCTCTCGATCTGCCCACTGAACCGCCACATTCGATGGCTTTCATCTGGACTTCGGCAGTCATACAAAGCCACTGACCTGGACACATTCGGGCAAAGGTGGATTTTAAGAGTTCAGGTTTCCTATGCTTTAAGTTTATTCTTAATGAAATGGCAATAAAATATCATTGCAAAGTCAACATGCAATTATTTAAAGCCTGTTTCAAGGTACTAAAATAAAGGAGAAAAACATAAGCTGAGTTCCACTAACTGGTGGATTCTGGTCCTAACACTTCAAAGGTGCCCTCCAGGTAGCTCTGATGGCACAGACGTCTTGACCGACTCCCCAGGTCAAATCTTCCACTCACAAGATGAACCCTCCCCATTTCTACAAGCTCGCGACAATGCCTCACTTCCCCTTCCCTGGCCGAGCCCTGGTCCAGGTAATTCACGTCTTAGCCACTCCTACTCTCCACAAGCAGGCTACTGCGTTGGGGGAACCGAGGCCTACACTTCTGTAACTTTGCTTGAACCCCAACTTAAAAATGCAAACGTATCACTCTTCAAAAGGAGAAGAAACCGAAATAAAGACTACAAACTGGTTTCAGCCTCCACTAGCTACTCTCCACCCTTCAGGCCCAGTCTGTGAAAAGGAGCTCAGATATGAGTGGGGACCCCTGTGGGGGACTGCAGGGGCCCAATTCTTCCCTGGTCCCTATGTCCAGACCCTCTGTCACGTGACATGGGAATGCTTCCCATAAAGGCAGAGTACATCTCCCCTCTCCATGTGACCTGTTTTGACCAAAAGAACAAGACAGAGCCTGGTTTGGTGGCGCAGCCTGTAATCCCGCGCTTTGGGAGGTTGAGGTGAGTAGATTGCCTGAGCCCGTGGGTTCGAGACCCACCTGGGCAACTTGGCGAGACTCATCTCTACAATAAATGAAAAAAATTAGCCAGGCGTGGTAGCATGCGCTTGTAGTTCCAGCTACTTGGAAGGCTGAGGCAGAAGGATTGCCAGAGCCCAGCAGGTCGAGGCTGCGGTGCAGTCTAGGCGACAGAGTGAGACTCCAACTCTAAAAAAAAGAACAAGCCAGAAGTGTAGTTCTGAGCCCAAGTCTCGGGAGGCCTTGGTATCTCTGCTTGGGCTTCAGATCTCACCATGAGCACACGTGTGGGATAGGCTCAGGAGGCAAAACACCAGGAGGACAGTCAAGGCCTCTGGCCCTGTCTAAATATGCCAGTATTGGCAGAGCTACCAGCTGAATTCAGCCTAGATAAGCTTTACCTCACAGAGGTATAAGAAATTAGTGTTTGTTTTAAACCACTGAATTTTGGTGTGGTTTATTTCACAGTGATAGCTAAGTTGTACACCCTCTAAAAACCAAAGAAGTTGCTAGTTCCTCCAGTTACATTATTATGACAGAACCATGTTCCCCTGCAGACTGAAAGGACCCCGAGTTACAAATGAAAAGTAAATAGTGCTAACAATTTACGCATGCAGGTGGCCTCCGTAATACATTCTGTGGATATCAAGTGATACTTTCTGAATGAGTTCCAGAAGATAAAAACAGAGCAGCAAGAATTCCTGACATGCTTTCTTACTTATCATATGATCCAGAAATCAGCGTCTGTGCTTCAAATGGATGAAACTGCAGTGTCTGGACCTGTGGGAGGAAACACAAATGAAGAGATCTATATTTGCCTTTGGTAAAATTACCTAACGTGGGGTGAGAACCAATTTGACACTGTTTCTATAAATTTATCCCTTTGAAATCCAGTACTTAGAGAAACACAAATGTATTGGAGAAGCTAAAAAGCAAACTTTACTCCCAAATAAAGGCTGGCACTTAAAGACAATGCAGCTTTCCCCAAACTGTGTTTGGCAGAATGCTTAGGGCCTTCAAATGTATGTGCTGGTTTCATTTTTCTTTTTGAGTGGGGGGGTCTCACTCTGCTGCTCAGGCCAAAGTGCAGTGACACAATCATGGTTCACTGTAGCCTGGACATCCTGGGCTCAGGAGATCCTTCCACCTCAGCCTCCTGAGCAGCTGGGACTTAAGGTGTGTACCACCATGCCTAGCTAAGTTTTTGATTTTTTGTAGAGATGAGTATCACTGTGTTCCCTGGGTTGGTCTTGAACTCCTGGGCTCAAGTAATCCTCCAGTCTCAGCCTCCCAAAGTATTGGAATTACAGGTGTGAACCACCGCTCCTGGCCCAAATGTTAAAAGACATTCAGAAGAAAACAGGGAAGTGGTCAAACATATCTTGACAACTCTACACGCTCCAGAAATCTTAAAATGTGCATTAGTACACTAGATCCCTGAGGAGCGCTGCAGTAATGACCTGTTAGAACCTTTAAATATCACTGTGACTGAAACCTCCATCCTTTTTAGGACCCTCTATAAGCATGTCATGGGGCACTGGGTGCCTAGTCACTGTATCTTTCTGCACCCATTTTTGCATCTCTAAGATGGGCATTATACCTATCACTTGAAAACTGAAAATCCAATGAGATAACATGTGAAAGCATTTTGAAAGCCAGATAAAATCATTTAAGAAGCCATACATAAATGTTTGGAGTTTTTTAAAACCAGCACTTGTACCAGATTTTTAAGAATCCCTGTGATCTGCTGAATCATCATACCTTGTCTGTGTGCACAGCGAGGCTGGCTGCTGGCTTCCCCAAGGACATATCCCATAGAATCACAGTGCTATCAGCTGATGCGCTTGCCAACACATTTCTGAGAAAGAGAATAATCAAATCAGGTACTCTTTAAAAAATCGAGAGCATCACATTGAAGAAAAGGACTCCATTTACAATTGCATGAAAAATAACAAAAGTTAAGAAAAAATTTAACAAGAAAAATGTAAGACTTGCAAACTAAAAACTACCAAAGACTGTCAAAATAAAGAGTATCTAACTAAGTGGAAAGATATCCATGTTCATGCACTGAAAGACTTTATGTTGATAAGATGGAAACACTTCATCTACAGATTGAGCTACAGACTGATCTACTGATTCAAGCAAGCCCTTTCAAGATCGCAGCTGACCTTTTTTTTTGGCAGAAGGTTACAAGCTGATCCTAAAATGCATATGACAATGTAGGAGATTAGACCTAGAATAGCTAAGATAATACTGAAAAAGAAGAGCAAAGTTGGAAAGCTCACACTTCCTGATTTCAAAATTTACTGAAAAGCTATAGTAATCACAGAAATGTGGTACTGCATAATGACACAAAGATTAGCAGAATAGAACTAAGAGTCCAGAAATAAACCCTTATGCTTATGGTCAGTAACTTTTGACAAGGATGCCAAGACAATTTTATATGTTCAAGAGAGAAAAGAACAGTCTTCAATAAATGGTTCAGGGACAACTGAATTTCCCCATGCTAAAGGATGAAACTGGACTCCTACCTTGCACACCACACACACACACACACACACACACACACACCCTCAAAATATATCACAGACTTCAATGTAAGAGCTAATACTATAAAACTATCAGAACAAAACAGATGAAAATCTCCATGATCTTGGGTTAGGCAATGGTTTCTTAGCTTCAATGGTTTCTTAGCTACAAGCACAAACAAGAAAAGAAATAAATAGATAAAACTAAACATCAACATGAAAAACCTGTGCTGCAAATACCATCAGAAAAGTGAAAACACAAGCCACAGAATGGGAGGAAATAAGTGCAAATCACATATTTGGTAAGGGGTTAGTATGTGGAATATATTAGAACGCCAACATTTCAACATTGAACAACACAATTAAAAAATGGGCTGGGTGTGGGGGCTTGCACCTGTAATCCCAGCACTTTGGGAGGCTGAGGCAGGTGGATTCTTGAGCCCAGGAACTTGAGACCAGCCTGGGCTCTTAAGAAAAAAAAATCAAATAATTAGCCAGGTGTGGTGTTAAACATCTGTTTGAGAGGCTGGGGCAGAAGGACTGCCTGGGCCCAGGAGGTTGAGGCTGTGATGAGCTGTGATTGTGCCACTGCACTCCAGCCTAGGTGACAGAGCGAAACTCTTACTCAAAAAAATGAAATTTTTTTTTAAATGGGCAAAGGGCTAGAACGGACATTTCTCCCAAGAAGCTATACAAATGGCCAATATGCACAAAGATGCTCGACACCACTAGCCATTAAGAAATGGCCATTAAAACCACAAAGAGATAACACTTCACACCCATTAGATGGTTATCAAAAAAACAGAAAATAATACATGTTGGGAGGATATGGAAACACTGGAATCCTTGTGTGCATATAAAATGGTGGGAATATAAAATGGTGAGCCACTATGGAAAACAGTACAGTGGCTGCTCAAAAAATTAGCACTTCTGGGTTCCATACCCGAAATAACTGAAAGCAGGGACTTGTGCACCTATTTGGAGGCCCAGGTTCATAGAGACACTATTCGCAGTAGCCAAAGGGGGAAGTGACCCAAGTGTGTCCACTGGTGGGTGTCCACACAACAGTATTCCACTTTGAACAGGAAAGAAACGGATACATATTACGTGGATGAACTTAAAGAGATCATGCTAAGTGAAATAAGCCAGTCACAAATTCAGAGGAGTCAAATTCAGAGAAAGTGAAGTGGTGGCTGCCAGGGGTGGGGCAGGGGGAGGTGGGGAGCTACTGGTGAAAGGGTGCAGCTGCACTTTGGGAAGACGAAAACATTCTGGAGCTGGATGGTGGTGATGGCTGCACAACAGAGTGCATGCACTGCAAGCCCCTGACTGTCCACTTATAAATTATTAAAGCGGCCAATTTAATATAATGTATACTTTCACCATCATGTAAAGAAAAAGGAGTAAGAATATGTGGATGACATGTGAAAACAGAGGAAAATATCTTCGGTGAACAAACACAATCCCACTGCATCACTGGCACCATACACCAGTGTGGTGGAGAGGAGAGCACAGGGTCACCAAACATGGATGAGCGCCTACGGCGATGAGCTGGCCAGGGGTGCAGAGGACACAGAGATACACAGAGCCCTGCTCGCAAGCAGCGTGCACTGTGGGAAAGAAAGGTGAGGCAGACACATAGGTCCCAACACGCACAGTGACGACAGGTGTAGGTGTGAGGTGAGATCCCAGTGAGACAGGTGTAGGCGCAAGGTGAGATCCCAATGGTTACCGACGTTTACATTCATTCAAACGTTATTTCTTTTTACCTGATTAGCTTATTCCATGAAAGGTCAAGGACAGCATCAGTATGCCCTTCTGCTGAGGAACTCTGTAATAATTATTTTAATTACTTTTGGTATTGAAGGCCCCCCATCATAAAATTGATATGTTCATTTGCAAGATTTTCTTTTTCTTTTTTTTTTTTTTTGAGTCAGAGTCTCACTCTGTCAACCAGGCTGGAGTACGGTGGCACGGTCACTGCTAGTGCAGCCTCTGCTTCCTGTCCTGGGCTCAGGCAATCTTTCTGCCCTCAGCCTCCCAAGTAGCTGAGACTATAGGTATGCACCACTATGCCTGGCTAATTTTTAAATTTATTGTTGAGACAAGGTCTCACCATGTTGCCCAGGCTGATCTCCAACTCCTGGGCTCAGACAGTCCTCTTGCCTCAGCCTCCCCAAGTGCTAGGATTACAGGCATAAGCCACTGCATTTGGCCTTCAAGATGTTTTAAATCTCAAGATAACTATTTTGGTATCATGAAAACTGACTTGACCGTGTCTCCCTGTTACTTTAGATATTCATGATAGGTATTCTTTACAGGGAAGAAACTTAGTAGTTTTTTTTCCTCCTTCCTCAGATAGGTCTTGCTATGTTGCCCAGGTCTCAAACTCCTACACTCAAGCAATCCTGCTGTCTCAGTCTCCTGAGTCTCTGGGACTACAGGCAGGCGCCACTAGTCCCAGCTCTAGTAGTTCTTTTTCTAGGTACTACAACTCTACAAATACCAATACTGCCCCCAACCCCCTAAAAACGTACAGTTTAAAAAGTTACATGGATATTTAAGAATTCAACACACTAAAGGTAAACTAGGAACTTTTTTAAAGTTGAAAACTAGTGTATTAGTGTAAATAGCTATCATATGAAGGAGGATCATAACCCGGGAGTCCTTCATACAAGGCAGCTAGTCACACCAATATACGAGGGCTTTTCCTTCTTGAAACCGGCCAAAGCTCTGTAATCATACACTAGTTTTGAACAAGTTTTGTGCAAGAAAGAATAACATGAAAATGGAGGCTTTATACAATCAGAAGTAAGTCTTCCCTGGAATAGGCTTTTCAAAATTAAAACTTACAATAACTTCATAACTGCCTGTTCTGTCTCCCCAAGAATATGGACTGGAAAAGTGTATATTCTTACTCCTGCTCCCCAGTATCGTTAGAGTCTGAATATCTATTCACTTCTTTACCTTCTTTCCTTTCTTTTTCTTCTTTTTTGAAAGCTTACTTCCAAGCGTGAAGACAGGCTCTAAGGAGTCCACTATATCAAGGTCCCACACTTCAATAACGGGGGTCATGTTTCCCACAGCAATGTAATTCCCTACAGGAGGAAACAACGCACTTAGGATGACCAAAAAAAGGCACACAGAACTTCCTATCAAATGCATTACATTGTAGATGGACTCAGTAAAGGCTCAGAGCAGTGCTTCTCAAACTGACATACACACATGCACCATCTGAATGTTGCTGAAGTACAGATTCTATTTCAGGTGTTTTGGGTGGGCCCTAAGCCTGCATTTCTAACCAGCTCACAGGTGCAACCAGTGCTGTGGTCTTTGGACCACAATTTGAGTAACAAGGCTCAATCTCTTGGCCCCAGTGTCCTAATAATGAGAGTAACCCTCCTCTCCCCGCTTCCTCCATCATGGGGTATTGTGGGGATAAAGATCAGATCTGATTATGGATGTGAACAAGTTTTGCAAACAAGACGGAGACCTCAGTATTATCAGCGTTCTCATCTTATCGGGAAGTACAGACAAGGATGGCTAATAGTGTACAGATGCAGTAAGACTAATGCAGAACCTAATTATTTGTGACAGGTTTCTTCACTTTGGTTTTAACTGATGTTTTCTTTTTTCTTGAGTTGGAGTCTCACTCTGTCACCCAGACTGGAGTGCAGTGGGCATGCTCCCGGCCACCGCAGCCTCGACCCGTTGGGCTCCAGGGATCCTTCTGCCTCAGCCTTCTGAGTAGCCGGAACTACAGGAGTGTGCTACCACGCCTGGCTAATTTTTTTGATTTATTGTAGAGATGAGGTCTTGCCAAATTGCCTAAGCAGGTCTTGAACCTGCAGGCTTAGGCAATTCACTCACCTCGGCCTCCCAAAGCGCAGGATTACAGGCTAAGCCACCAAGCCTGGCCCATAACTTGTTTTAGAAAACATCAGTTAAGGCTGGGCTCGGTGGCTCAGCCTGTAATCCTGCGCTTTGGGAGGCCGAGGTGAGTGA